CACGCACACACACCCTGGGAGCAGGTGCACACACACACACACACACACACACGGGAGCAGGTGCACGCACACGCACACACCCCCTGGGAGCAGGTGCACGCGCGCACACACACCCTGGGAGCAGGTGCACACACACGCACACACCCCCTGGGAGCAGGTGCACACACGCACACACACCCTGGGAGCAGGTGAACGCGCGCACACACACACCCTGGGAGCAGGTGCACACAGACACACACACACACCCTGGGAGCAGGTGCATGCGCACACACCCCCTGGGAGCAGGTGCACACACACACACACACACCCTGGGAGCAGGTGCACACACACACACACACACACACCCCTGGGAGCAGGTACACATGCACACACACCCACCCTGGGAGCAGGTGCACGCGCACACACACACACCCTGGGAGCAGGTGCACACAGACACACACACCCACCCTGGGAGCAGGTGCACGTGCACACACACCCTGGGAGCAGGTGCACACACACGCACACACACCCGGGGAGCAGGTGCACACACACACGCACACACACCCTGGGAGCAGGTGCACACACACACGCACCCCCCCCCGGGAGCAGGTGCACACACACACACACACACACACACACACCCGGGAGCAGGTGCACGCACGTGCACACACACCCGGGAGCAGGTGCACACACATGCACACACACCCTGGGAGCAGGTGCACACACACGCACACACACTCTGGGACTAAGCAGCTCCCCCCCCAAAAGCCTCAAAAGTCAGAAGGGAAATAAAATGGAGAAAATAAAATGAAATGGATCTGTGGCTTTGAGTGTTGCTGACTGGCACTAAGCCTCGGATACCAGCCCACTGAGGGGGCTGTTTCGTCACAAGGGGGAATTTCCATCCCCCTCCTGCTGGGTCTTATCCTGAGGTTCAGGCCCCACACTGAAGAAGGGGAACTGTCTAAGAGAAGGGTAGTATCTCTTTAAAAAATTGTGAGCCCCCAAGTAGCGCTCACCCTGTTCTCCATTGCAGGGTATCCTACCCAAGCTGGAAATTACACCTCGGGCTGCAGTGCAGGCAGACACTGAGCTTACAGAAACCAGTCCCGGCAGCGGTGCCTTTGGAGCTTGGCCTTGTGTGTTTGGGTATCGTTAGATATTTGGAACCCAGCCGTGATTTCTCCATATTGTGTTTCTTGGGTAAAAAGCAAAAGACCCAACAGGTTTTTCCCCTTCTCCTCTCCTCCTGTACTACTGTCCCTCTCCCACATCCAGACGAACCCCCCGCCCCTCAGCTCCCCAACAATCCCCTACCTGAGTTAGCTCCGCAGCAGCTGTTGCCCTTCCCCATCTACTGGGAGGACGGGATGGTCTGGAGCAGAGGTTACCAAACTCTGGTATGTGACTCCCGGGCACAGTGGGAGCTTGACGTTCTCTCCACACGCGTTTGAGGGAGGACGTGAACCACTCAAGTCTGGGAGCCGCTGAGCTGCAGTGAATCATAGACATTATTCTGCAGCCTGTCAGGGAGGGAGAAGGGTTGCGGGGGCTTTAGGACATTTCATTCCCAATTTACCGCAGGCTCTTTCCCTGCATACAAATGTTCTAGACACCATGATGCTGAAAACGCTCAGTCACTTTATTCCAGAACAGACCCAGCTCCTGCCACCCAAACTAAACCAACCGAGACAGGTTTACACCCCTCATGAACAGAGTCTCTGAACCTAACGCTGGAAAAGAGCAAAACCAAAGGAGCTGCTTTGGGAGATTCCCCCTGACTTTGTCCCCAAGGGCAGCACATTTCCCCCAGCAGCACAGCACTGAGGCAGAGGAAGAAACTGGCTTTTCCTCTCTCTGCTCCTCATGTCGTTCCCAGGAAAGTCAATCTGCCCAGGAGTTGCTGAGTCTTAAACTAACAGACCTTTTCCACCAAGCGTCTGGAGTTAAGCTATGTTACAAAAACAAACCAATTTTGAAAATATACTTAAACTGACTGAACAAAAAGCACATTCCTCTCTCAATCAGCCACTTATATTCTATGGTCACTGGCATAAAAAAACCTCCTGATTTCATGTGCTAGATTCCTTGGATGTAACAAAGCTACTAGTTCTCCAGTTCCCCACAGATTATTTTGGGAAAATTAGCGCTAACACCATAATTTGTCATTTTAAAAGGAATAAAATACCTCCCAGGCCTTGACTAAGCACAAAGGAGCAAAAATGGTCACAAAACCAATGATCTGATCTTTTTCAGGTCACCTTTAAAAATACTGGATACATCATCTCACCTCTTCATCCATAAATCACACCTTTCTACCACTACTTAATCACACTAATGAAGACAATGCTGATGGGATGGGCAAAGTGCTCACACGAGGGCATGAAATGTAATAGATTGAGGGCAGAAAGTGACCATTGTGATCATCTAGTCTGAATTCCTGCGTAAGACAGACCAGAAAATATCCCTGCATGAAGCCCGTAAGTAACGTCTCATTGAGCTAGAGCAAATCTTTTGGGAAGATACCATTCCTGATTTAAACCCTTACACTGATGGACAGTCCAGTCTACCCCATTTTGGATTAAATATGATGGGCATTTTCTCCCCAGAAAAACATCACTTATTTTAAGACTGCTTTGAAGTCCTGGGAATGTTCGGAGATTTATTATTTTAAAAGAAAAACAGCTGAACATTAAGAATCCCCCAAGATGTAGCATGTGGCTATAGCTCTTGGTAAGGAATAGTCATTTACATTCAGACAGGTACAAACACTGAGGGTCCAGATCCCTCCACAGGATCTCTGGGATCACTTACAGGAAGCCTCATAGTATTTACAAGGATTCATAGATTCCAAGGCCAGAAGGGATCACTGTGATCATCTCGTCTGACCCCCTTATAACAAACCAGGCCAGAGAAAACCCTCAAAATAATTCCTAAAGCAGATCATTTAGAAAAACATCCAGTCTTGATTTAAAAATTGTAAGGGATGGGGAATCCACTACGACCGTTGGTAAATTGTTCCAATGGTTAATTACTCGCACCGTCAAAAATTTACACCTTATTTACTGTCTGAATTTGTCTAGCTTCAACTTCTGGCCGTTGGATCATGCTATATATTTTTCTGCTAGACTGAAGAGCCGATTATCAAATATTTATTCCCCATGTAGGTACTTATACACTGTAATCAAGTCACCCCTTAACATTCCCTTTGTTAAGCTAAATAGACTGAGCTCTTTGGGGGGAAGGATAGCTCAGTGGTTTGAGCTTTGGCCTGCTAAACCCAGGGTTGTGAGTTCAATCCTTGAGGGGGCCATTTAGGGATATGGGGCAAAAATTGGAGATTGGTCTTGCTTTGAGCAGGGGGTTGGACTAGATGACCTCCTGAGGTCCCTTCCAACTCTGATATTCTATGAGTCTGTCACTCTCAGACAGGTTTTCCTAATCCTTTAATCATTCTTGTCGCTCTTCTCTGACCCCTCTCCAATTTATCACCATCCGTCTTGAATTGTGAGCACCAAAACTGGGCACAGATTCCAGCAGTGGTCGCACCAGGTGTGACGAAGTGGGACTGTTCTTAATGTTTCCTCCGAATATTGTGGGGGTGCCTCAGTTTCCCCTATGCAGTTCTTAAGGATCTAGGTGGTGGGGTGAGGGTGTATGATCATTGCAGAGCCCTAGAGGGCAGGTGTGTGCAGGGGTCTGGACACAGAGAATGGCCAACATCCTGTTTCCTGGCAACTGATGGCCTGGGCCCTTCCCCCCCCTGCAAGGTGAAAGCTGAAGGGTTGGAGAACAAAGGAATCAGGTGACCACCTGGCCCGGGGAAAGGAACAAAGCCCAGAGGAGGAGGGGCTGGAGGGAGTTTCAGTTTGGGGCTGGCTGGGACATGGAGTGAAGGGCAGACGTGGTTGTCTGGCTCACTGCCCCCCAAAATGGACCCAGCTGAGGGGTCCTGTTTTCTGCATCTACAAGCTCTGTGTTAGACCATGTTCCTGTCATCTAATAAACCTCTGTTTTACTGGCTGGCTGAGAGTCACGTCTGACTGCGAAGTTGGGGTGCAGGACCCTCTGGCTTCCCCAGGAGCCCTGCCTGAGCGGACTCGCTGGGGGAAGCACATGGAGGGGCAGAGGATGCTGAATGCTCCGAGGTCAGACCCAGGGAGGTGGAAGCAGTGTGAGCTGTGTGTCCTGAAGACAGGCTGTTCACAGAAAGGCGACTGCCCCAGAGTCCTGACTGGCTTCATGGGGAGCAGTTCCAGAGCATCGCCCAAGGACTCCGTGACACCAGGACCAAATATAGGGGTAAAATAACCTCAAGATTCCCCTGTTTATACAGCCCAGAATTGCATCAGTCCTTCTGGTCACAGTGTCGCGCTGGGAGCTCATATTCAGCTGATTATCCCCCTCAACCCCCAAATCTTTGTCAGCATCACTGCTTCCCAGGCTAGAGCCCCCCAACCTGTAAGTGTGGCCTGCATTCTTTGAAGGGGGGTTGCGTGGAATTGATCATAGAGACATGGTCAGCCCAAGTCCTTTTAGCTCTGATGTGTCGGTTGGAGCAAACAGGTCCCTGTCAGCACTTAGATATGGGGGAGATTTATCCACTGGGAGTACCCCATGGCTTATTTCTGGGGGGAGGGTCAGTAATGGGGGAAGAGTTTAATATGGAGAATTAACACACAGCCCCCATTCTTCTGTCTCCTCTGTGCTGCATCTCCTCTCCCTGTAACCTCCCTCACTGGGCAGAGCTGGTTAAATCTACCACCTTGCACTGTCTCTCCCACTCTGCCTTATTTCCCCCCACCCTCTTCCCTTCCTGACTCCATCCCCAGAGACGCAAAGGGGAACCCTCCCAGGGCCTGTTCAGGATCCCCTCTGCCCCTGGCACTGCATCCCAGCTCCCTCCTGCAGGGACCTCAACAAGAGAGCAGATTCCCAGGAGATCAGATGGTCCTGGGGCTGTTTGTGCAGAGTCACTTTCCTGCCCATCCCCAGCCCTTCCCCCCAGTTCTCTCTGTTACCTGGAGCCTCCGGCTCAGGTGTTAATGTTGGGGCTGCCCTAGGAGGCTGGTTCCCGCTGGAGAAGGTCACATCCCAGCTGGGCACAGAGGGGACTTTAATGAAGGCCTGTCGCTGGCACAGACCCCAGGGCTCCAGGATCACATTCACAATGGAGCCAGCAGCAGCTGTGTCTAACCCAGGAAGCTCAAACCCCAATTTCCTGAGCAGAGAAATCAGAGACAAATGCTGCCAGGGGGCTAGATCTAAAGAAACCCCTCTGAAGCTACAACACTGCCCCTCTCCCCCAGACACTGAAATGCAGCACGGGAGTCTTGGGGCTGGATCATATAAAAAACAGAGGCTGGAGACCAACATTGAACCCACCAATCAAGGGATGCACTGTGTTCCAGCCAGCCAGCCTCAGATCTAGCTTGAGCACATCCCTGCTCAACAGTGACAAACTCAAGCATCCAGTAATCACCAGATTGGGTTCAAAACCCTGGGGTGTGTTTTGAAGGAATACATTTGGGCTTCCTTTCCCATAGCTCCTGGTGCCTGAGCCTTTAGGGTGCCCTCCACTCATCTTTTCAACCTTTTCCTCTTCAACTGGGAGGGCTGGAATGTGACTTATCATTTGTTTCTGAGATTCCCGTGGTCCCCTGTCATAAATATAAAGGGAAGGGTAAACCCCTTTGAAATCCCTCCTGGCCAGGGGAAAGCTCCTCTCACCTGTAAAGGGTTAAGAAGCTAAAGGTAACCTCGCTGGCACCTGACCAAAATGACCAATGAGGAGACAAGATACTTTCAAAAGCTGGGAGGAGGGAGAGAAACAAAGGGTCTGTGTCTGTCTGTAGTCGTCTTGGCCAGGGACAGAACAGGAATGGAGGCTTAGAACTTTTAGTAAGTAATCTAGCTAGGTATGTGTTAGATTATGATTTCTTTAAATGGCTGAGAAAAGAATTGTGCTGAATAGAATAACTATTTCTGTCTGTATATCTTTTTTGTAACTTAAGGTTTTGCCTAGAGGGGTTCTCTATGTTTTTGAATCTAATTACCCTGTAAGATATCTACCATCCTGATTTTACAGGGGGGATTTCTTTATTTCTATTTACTGCTATTTTTTATTAAAAGTCTTCTTGTAAAACACTGAATGCTTTTTCATTGTTCTCAGATCCAAGGGTTTGGGTCTGTGGTCACCTATGCAAATTGGTGAGGCTTTTTATCCAACATTTCCCAGGAAAGGGGGTTGCAAGTGTTGGGAGGATTGTTCATTGTTCTTAAGATCCAAGGGTCTGGATCTGTAGTCACCTAAGCAAATTGGTGAGGCTTTTTACCAAACCTCGTCCAGGAAGTGGGGTGCAAGGTTTTGGGAAGTATTTTGGGGGGAAGGACGCGTCCAAACAGCTCTTCCCCAGTAACCAGTATTAGTTTGGTGGTGGTAGCGGCCAGTCCAAGGATAACGGGTGTAATATTTTGTACCTTGGGGAAGTTTTGACCTAAGCTGGTAAAGATAAGCTTAGGAGGTTTTTCATGCAGGTCCCCACATCTGTACCCTAGAGTTCAGAGTGGGGGAGGAACCTTGACATCCCCATAGCTGGGGCTTTAAGAAACCCACCAAATATCATGAGGCTTGTCTTAAAATCCTTAAAGTTGGCTGCACTCAGCCAAAGCGCATCAGAAACGGGTTCAGCCAGAGCTGCGTTTCCAAAGGGCAGGAAGCACAGTGGAGGCTGGGCTCAAGCTTCCCAGCCCCTTAGGATTCATGTCATTTTTCACCTGCCCATCAATGAACCCCACTTCCCCATGAGGGGACTCAACCCAGCTCGCCCTATTGCGGACACTGGAGTTTCTGTCTCAGGCACTTTTACAGCCCCCATAGTATCTGAGTCCCTCACAATCTGTCCCCAAAGCACCCCTGGGAGGAAGGGGAGGGTTTTATCATCATCCCCAGCTCAGAGGTGGGGAGCTGAGACCAGGAAAGATGAAGCTATTTGACCAAGGTCACACAGCTTATCTGTGGCAGAGCCAGGTCTCCCACATTCCAGGCTCACATCCTAACCCTTGGGCTAGCCTTCCTTTCCACCCTCCTCTGTGATGAAAGTAATTCTCCCCTGGTCCTGAAGAACAGGAAGGAATCTGGGGTGAACTCTCATGCTGCATCTCCAGGAAACACAACCCAAAGCAATTGAGGGGGAACACTGCCATCTCTGTGCCCTTCTGATCCCGGACTGCCTGTGGGGCTGAAATGGGGCCTGGCATAACATAGGGAGCCGCTCTATGTTACAGCAGCCTCCCTGGTGCTGCAGCACAAGACAGAACAGCTGTTGTGATGTGTGCTGCAGCCTCACCCACCTTTGCTACAAGAGCCCCAAGGTTTGCATTTCCCCTGGTTTGCAGCACACACACATTCCCAGAGATTGCCTGAGAGCACGTCTGAGCTCTCTCCTTGGGAAGATCAGAACATTAGGGTGATGGGCACCATTGTAAGAGCCAGGATAGACATTGTCCACACATAAAATTTGCCCTGATTTAAATTAAATCAGCTTAAAAACCACTTTAGTTAAACTGCTGCAAAACCGTGTGGACATTTCTGTTGGTTTCAGTTGGCTAGATCAGTTTGGCTGGGCCCTGTGCACAAGGTAAGCCGGGCTTGGAGTGACATAACCTGTGGGATGACACCTGTGACTTAAATGACGCAGAAGTAGAAAGCAGGCAGCTGGGCTGTGGGACGGCATTATCAGCACCAGGCGTGGCTCACTTTGGAGAAGGATCTGACCCCATCTGGTTAGATGACGCTAAGTGCACAGGGCAGAAACGCCATGCTGTGCCTCTGCTTTGGGGTCAGTGTCCCACCTTCCATCCAATGGGCCCTAGGTTCTCTATGCTTGGAGCCTCCTCTAGAACATTGCAGAGAGTGGGTGCAGGGAGCACCGGGCCATGATTTACCCCCGAGGAGGGTAAATTCATAGAAGGGGAAGGGGTGGGACAGGGGAATGGCAGGGGTGTATAACAGAGTCGCTGCCTCCACCTCCACCTCCACCCCCACCCCTTATAGCAATAGCCCTCCTGCTCACAGACAAAAGCTGGAAGATGTGCCCTGAGTACAGCTGAAAGTTTCAGAAAATAGAAGAGAAATACAAAGAACCCAAATGTATCACTCTTTAGAAACTCTATGAATTTTAAGCCACTCCTGTAGTTTGGGGGGTGGGGCCCGATTCATGAGTTCAGAGAGCTTGGAGCTGCCAGCGGTGCAGACCCCAACGCAAAGTTCCCTCCCAGCTCTGGGCTCTAACTCTCACAGGACGGAGCTGAATCTCTCCCCTCCACTTCCTGCCCCAGCTATGGCCAGCTCTGAAGGAGACAGGGTATTTCTACAGTGCAGCTGGCAGCAAGCCTCCCAGCCCAACTCATGCTTTCTCTGCTCAAGCTACAAACAGCAGCATGGACTTTAGGGCACCAGCCAGCTGCCAGAATCCAAGCCCGCCCAGCTCCTTGGGCTGAGCTCGGATGGCTAGCCCATGCCGCTGTGTCCACACTGCTGTTTGTAGGGCGCTAGCTGGAGCTGCACTGTCTGTCCCGGCTAGGACGTTTGCTCAGAACTGCAGTATGGCCTTACCCCCAGAGCCCAAGTAAGCACCCCAAAGGCCCTGAGCATGTGGAGAGCAGTAGCCAGACCAGTCCTTTTCAACAGGACAGCTTATTGTAACACGGTTCCCTTTGCTGGCTAGCCGCTATGGGGCTTCACATCTCAGTGCAGAGCAGGCCTTGGGGTGCAGGGCTCATAGGTGTTGGAACTAGGGGTGCTGCTCCCCTACCCCCAGCTTGAAGCAATTTCCATCGTATCCAGAGTTTACAGTGTGGTTGAATGGCTCTCAGCACCCCCACTATACAAATTGTTCCAGCAACACTGCCAGGGCTCCTGACTCCTACAAGAGTCAACACGGCCAACGTCCATGTCACGAAAACAGAAAAATCACCGCCCTCCCGCGAGCAGGTGAGCTGGGTCCCCTCCAGCAACAACCCAAACAGCTCTCACAAAGGGGTGGGGGTGGGGGGAAGAGATTCCCAGCCACTCCTGAGCTTCCCTGCCCCCAGACAGGCCCCTCCTTGCCCCCAGCCCAGAGGGCTCCTGATCCCCTGCCCCCAACCCAAAACCCAGCTCCCTGCCCCCCAGCACAGACAGGCCCCCTACCTATTCCACCAGCCCCAACTCCCTGCACTGACCCCGCAGCCCGGTTCCTCCTGCTCCCCGCCCTGCTCTCTCCACGCAGCCCCAGCCCCGGTTCCGGTTCCTCCTGCTCCCCGCCCTGCTCTCTCCACCCAGCCCCAGCCCCGGTTCCGGTTCCTCCTGCTCCCCGCCCTGCTCTCTCCACGCAGCCCCAGCCCCGGTTCTTCCTTCTCCCCGCCCTGCTCTCTCCACGCAGCCCCAGCCCCGGTTCTTCCTTCTCCCCGCCCTGCTCTCTCCACGCAGCCCCAGCCCCGGTTCCTCCTGCTCCCCGCCCTGCTCTCTCCACGCAGCCCCAGCCCCGGTTCCTCCTGCTCCCCGCCCTGCTCTCTCCACCCAGCCCCAGCCCCGGTTCCTCCTGCTCCCCGCCCTGCTCTCTCCACCCAGCCCCAGCCCCGGTTCCTCCTGCTCCCCGCCCTGCTCTCTCCACCCAGCCCCAGCCCCGGTTCCTCCTGTTCCCCGCCCTGCTCTCTCCACCCAGCCCCAGCCCCGGTTCCTCCTGCTCCCCGCCCTGCTCTCTCCACGCAGCCCCAGCCCCGGTTCCTCCTGCTCCCCGCCCTGCTCTCTCCACCCAGCCCCAGCCCCGGTTCCTCCTGCTCCCCGCCCTGCTCTCTCCACCCAGCCCCGGTTCCGGTTCCTCCTGCTCCCCGCCCTGCTCTCTCCACGCAGCCCCAGCCCAAGGCTTCAGGGCCCCTCTGCAGCGCCCGCTGCCGGACCCGGGACTCCGGAGGAGGATGGTGGGCGCCAGGGGCAGACTCCGCCCCAGGGCCGGACTGAGCCTCTCCCGGGCCCGACGCCCACCCACGTGGTCTGAGCTCTCCTGCCCTGGAGACGGGCTCTGAGGGGCAGAGGGCGGGGACAGACCTGACTGGCAGCGATCGCCGCCAATCCCCGCGCGCAGAGATTAACCCTGTGCTGGCCGGGGCAGAAGCTTTGTGTGGGGGAACGGGGCTCCCGAGTTCCCCTGCGGCCGGGCGGGGAGCTGGGGCCTGGCGTGCTAGGGGGCAGGGAGCTAGGGTTACAGGTGGGGGCAGAGCTACGGGCCTAGCTGTGCTGGGGGGCACGGAGCTGGGATTACTGGTAGGGGGGGCAGGGAGGGGCCTAGCTGTGCCGGGGGCGGGGAGCTGGGGTTACAGGGGGGGGGGGGGGATGAGCTGGGGGGCAGGGAGGAGCCTAGCTGTTCTGGGGGGCAGGGAGCTGGGGTTACTGGTGGGGGGGCAGGGAGGGGTCTAGCTGTGCTGGGGGGCAGGGAGCTGGGGTTATGGGTGGGGGGGATGAGCTGGGGGCAGGGAGGGGCCTGGCTGTGCTGGGGGGCAGGGAGCTGGGGTTACAGGTGGGGGCATGAGCTGGGGGGCAGGGAGGGGCCTAGCTGTGCTGGGGGGCAGGGAGCTGGGGTTACAGGTGGGGGGATGAGCTGGGGGCAGGGAGGGGCCTTGCTGTGCTGGGGGGCAGGGAGCTGGGGTTACAGGTGGGGGGGATGAGCTGGGGGCAGGGAGGGGCCTGGCTGTGCTTCATTGTGGCCTCTGTCTCCTGCTCTTCCCCACTGCATTTGGCTCTGGAATGGTCAGAGCTGACTCTGCCCCCCATCCATACATCCCCCAACGTCCCCCCAGCCCCTGACCGCCCGGTGACCCATGTGGTTGGTTCCCAGGTCACAGTGCATGTGAAGGTTGGGGACGTGACCCCAGAGGAGATGGATGCCCCTGAAGCATTATGGGAATCTCAGAGCCCCCAGCTGGAGCCACTACAGCCCCATCCCGCATGGGGAACCACGGAGGAGACGGCACTGAGGAATTACGAGCTGCCAAGCGCCCCTGAAAAGGAGCCCAGAGTTGGACAAGAAATGGGTAACCAGCTTGTGAAGGGGCTTGGGGCAGATCTTCCCGGGAGCACTGAGGGAACAATGTGGAAGGGAGTCCCTCAGGCTGAGTGTGTGTGTGGAGAACAGGGGAGTGGCTGGTTCAGGCCGGGGGGGGGGAGGCTCCCCAGCAGGATTGCTGCCTGGAAAACAAGAGAGGCAGTGTGTGGGGTTGGGGTGGCCAGTGGGTCTCCTAGGTGACAAGTGGCCCAGGCAGTGGGGATAGGACTGTGGGAGCTAGGTGGCCCCATAGCCAGCAGTAGCGAACCCTCCTTGTGGTGTCCTTTTCAGTGGCGTTACCCAGCGGGTGCCCTTCCCCACCCCCATCCACTTCCTGAGGCCTGGGGTCAGGTCCCTCTCAGCTGGGGAGGGATGCAGGGGATTCAGACCATGACAATCTCCGTTGCAGAGAGGCCCTAGAATCCTCTGCAGGAAGGCCTGAGGCAGTAGACTCTTACTGGGGTGCCTGTGGCCTGGGACTCGAGAGGAAATCCCTAGAGCTGTGATCCATCCCCAGGGCAGCCCCTGCGGGGTAGCAATGGTGGGAGCTCTAATGCAGAGGGCTCTGTGTTTCCTGCTGCCTAACCTGACTCAGGGCTCTGTGCAGATGCTGTCGGGCAGGAATTTTCACCTTTCCAGGGCTGTTATGTTCAATGAGTGGGTTCTCCCCGCCTTGGCCTGGATACCCACCCAGCCCATTTCAGCACTTGTTGCTGCTCTTCCTCGATACGTATCCCTCTCTGGGAATGTCTTGGGGGCACATGGTAACAAAGTTCCTGATCCCAAGGCTAGAGCGGTGCCCGGACTCCGGTGTGATGGTTTTGCTGCATCCACTGCTCTCCACTGGGGAGGAATGGAAACAATCGGAAGGGGCTGCAAAAGAGTTGGCCCTTGTGAACAGGGCAGGAAACAGCCTGTCCATACCCATCTGGCAATGGGTCAGCCTGGGCTGTGCTGGGCCAAGGAGATCTCTGCCCAACTCAGGCATAAGTTTTCTTTTGCCTCGGATACCAGGCCCATGGGCTAGTGCCCAAGGTGAGAGGCCATCATCCCTGCAGCTCTTGGGCATGGCCAGCATTTTCCCTGTGAATCCTCCAGGGAGAGGGTGTTGTTCCCTTGATACACTGGTCACCTTCATACTGAGATGTCCCCTCCACCTTCGCTCCAGCTGCTGCCACTGATGTTTGGAAGAGGGATTCTGGGGCTGGGGCCTCTCTGGAACCTCCCACTTCCTACAGGCCCAATATCCTGGCTTGCTGGGTCTAACACAGAAACTTCCTCATTTTCCTCCCCATTGCTGGCAGCTCTGACAGGATTTCCTTCCCCGCTCATGTCACTCCCAAGGCCCAGTGGCCCCTCTCAGCCCAAGATCCCATCCTGTTGTCAACCGGAGACCTGTTAGCCACCTTACAGCTCCCCGCTGGCCGAACCAAGGCAGGAAAGTTGGGGAGTCCAGACCAAGAATGATCTCTTAGCCAGCGTTAGATACCACCCTGCCTGTGACCAGCATCCCTGACCCTACTCCGATTGTGTTCAACTCGTACCCCTCTGCCAGTCGCACTTTTACCATCACTTACAAGGCGGGATGGACCCAGCCCTAATTATGTCTTGTTTACATGTGGTGCCAGCCAGGGCCTGAGTGGCCAGGGTGCTGCCAGCAAAGCAGGTGACCTCTCTGGGCCCTGGGTTTGGCAGCTTTTCCCCAGATGTTTTACATTCTCCTGAGGCGCAGCATATCCCACATCAGTCTTTGGCTTTACTTCCCCGCTTCTGCAAGTCTAGAGGTTCTGCTCTGCCAGCCTTACTGCTGCTCGCCTACCTGAGTGGTGGATGCTCCTTTCCTGACACGGGCTCCTGCAGTCTCAGCATGCACAGGTGGTAGTTCTCCAGCTGCTTCTTTATGCTGTTCACCTGGCTTCATCGAGCATCTGCACAATCACTTCAGTTTATTGTCAGTCTCTGGCAAGGGGGTGTCTTTAGGGGCTTGAGCCTTTGCCTGTAGCTTCCCTCACACACAGCAAAGTGGGCCAGGATGGCTTCTTTACTAGCTTTATCAGAGTCACAGTCTATCATCCCTGGCTCTGGTGCCTTAGTAGCAAGGGGGGTGTCTGGTTTGAATGGCCACTCCTTAACTGTCCAGCCCCTAGTCCTTGCCATCCACTCACACCTGGTCAGACGGTTCTCTGTGTCTTCTCGTCCCTGGGACTTGGGATCTCTGGTCGGGGAGTACAGGAAATGGAATCCATCCCCTCTCAGGCTCAGTGCCATTCTCTGGGCTCAGGGAATGTCTGAGGGCAGTGGTGTGATATACGCAGGAGTGAGATACCACCTGCAGAATAAAACCCAGCACCGCAGAGGGCAGTGCTGTGCTGCCCAGCTGTGACATCCTCAGCTCAGCAAACTGACTCTGAGCGGTGACACCTGTCCAGATTCTTGCTCCAGCTCCCTGTGGCGTAACACAGAGTCCCGTGGTCCGTTCCCTAGGCTCTTGCTGAGGGGTAGGTCTGCAGAATAGCGCACACAGAACAGCTGGTATCTCTAAAGAGGCTGCTCTAACACAAGTTCTTTTTTTGGTGAAAAATAACTTTTTCTGAATTGAAACTTTTTGTGAATGTTGCTGACATTTGCCATTTTTGTGCCTATTTAAAATCAGTCTCTTGAGCTAAATTTCCATCACGTAAAACCTACTTCTACATAAATAAAATATTTGTTATGATTTTCATAAAATATTTGTATTTAAAGTCAGAAACCCAACTGTCATAAACATACAACTAAGGATAACATACAATCCCTCCTTTACCTGTAAGGGGTTAAAAAGCTCAAATAAACTGGTTGGCACCTGACCAAAAGGACCAATAAGGGAAGAAGATCCTTTCAAATCTGCGGGGGGAGGTTTTGTTTGTGCTCTCTTTGTGTGCTCTCTCGGGACAGAGAGCGGGACCAGGCAGGATAAAAACCTCTCCTAAAACCCTACCTGAAATAAACATCTAAGATTACAAAAATTGTAAGTAAAGCAAGGAAATGTGTTAGATTATCTTTTGTTTTAGCTTGTGAATTTTCCCTATGCTAAGGGGGAGGTTTGTTCCTGTTTTTTATAACTTTGAAGTTTTGCCTAGAGGGGAATCCTCTGTGTTTTAAATCTTATTACCCTGTAAAATTACCTTCCATCCTGATTTTACAGAGGTGTTTCTTTTACTTTTTTATAATAAATTTCTGCTTTTAAGAACCTGATTGGTTTTTAGTGTCCTAAAAGCCCAAGGGTCTGGTCTGTGCTCACCTTGTTTACCTATTTGGTTGGTATATTATTCTCAAGCCTCCCCAGGAAAGGAGGTGAAGGGGCTTGGGGGGATATTTTGGGGAATCAGGAACTCCAAGTGGTTCTTTTCCTGAATCTTTGTCTAACTCACTTGGTGGTGGCAGCAATACAGTCCAAGGACAAGGAAGAATTTGTACCTTGGGGAAGTTTTTAACATAAGCTGGTAGAAATAAGCTTAGGGGGTCTTTCATGTGGGTCCCCATATCTGTACCCCAGAGTTCAGAGTGGGGAGGGAACCCTGACACCAACTCAAGCCAAAACTGTAACAAGTTTTGAAAAAGGATTAGATAAGTTCCTAGAGGATAGGTCCACCAATAACTAGTAGCCAAGATGGTCAGGGACGCAGCCCCATGCTCTCTCTGGGTGTCCCTAAACCTCTGTTTGCCAGAAGCTGGAAGTGGACGACAGGGGACGGATCACTCGATGATTGCCTGGTCTGTTCATTCCCTCTGAAGCACTTGGCATTGGCCACTGTTGGAAGACAGGATACTGGGCTAGATGGACCATTGGTCTGACCCAGTAGGGCCATTCTTATGTAACCCCCCCAAAATGGTCCATTTTGACCCCAGGGAACAAAACAACTTTGAAACTTTAAAGTTGTTTGCAAAGATATCTTTCTGTTGTTCGGTCATCTCTAATGTGGAAGTGGATATGGGTGGGGAGCATGATCACTGCCTAAAAATAGCCTGGACAGCAGCCCTGTCTAGTATGGCAGGGGCTCCAAAGAGATTGGTTAGTGCAATTTACAAGAAGATTGATCTGCAGAAGAATGAAAGAATTGGGGCCTGACTGGAGAGCAGGATTTATGAGTAGCACGATTTTCAAATTTTATAACCCAACTCAGCGTGCTCTGAGTGCATATCCTATACCTTAAAAACACCCACAGTAAATACATCCATCTCAGCCCGCCCCCTCCTCACAGCCTTAGTGAGAAGATAAAGAGATGGGCTTTGCAGCATGCTAACACATCTGGGCTCTGATGGACCAAGTGGAGGAGTGAGATCCAACATTTGGACTCCTTCCAGAGAATCTCCTGCCAGCAGCTTCCTCCCACAGAGGATCCAACTCAAGCACCTCTGCTGATCTCAGCTGTGGCAGTGTAGCACCGGGAGAGGTGATCCCTCACGTAAATGGGAGCCAAGAAAAGGAGAGGGCCAGGGATAAGGAGTCTGTGGGTGGGAGAAGAGCTAAAGAGATGGGACAGAGAGGGGGCAGAGGGAGTTTGGAGGGGAAGTGATGGGACTGGCGGAGAAAAGTTATTGTGGGCACTGGGGGAAGAGGAAGGAGACAGCTTCCTGGTTGTGCCCCTCCATAGCCCCCATGCAGCGGACAGAGGGGCTCCTCCTGGGGGTCTCTCCCATGAAGGGCTGTGCAGTCACTCCCACCGTTGGACATATGAGAGATGAAATAATCTCTGGATTCTCTTCCATCCAGCAGGTGCTGGAATCCTGAGCCAGGCTGAAGAGAAGCCTCGCAACGAAGGGCCTGAAATGGTGCTGCCCCCCAGCGTATCTCAGAGTGGATCAGGGGAGAGCGTTACCCACACACCTGAGCAGGGAGGAGCCTGCAAGAGGCAGAAGAAGATCCCAGCAGGGAAGGAGCCAGGCCTCCCAGAGGAACAATGCAGTAGATTCAGGACACTAACCCAGCTCCTTCCGCAGGGGAGACCTCAGACCACAGGGGACCTTCACCAAGAGCAATACCATAGATGTCGAGACTGTGGGGAAAGCTTCAGGGAAAAGCAGGAGCTCATGGCTCATGGCAAGGTCCATGAGAAAGAGAGACGTTATCCCTGCGCCGAATGTGGGAAGAGATTCAGCTGTCCAGCGCATCTCAAAACCCACCAGAGAAGCCACACGCGCGAGAAGCCCTACTCGTGTGGAGAGTGCGGGAAACTGTTTGGCTATCTCTGCACGCTGACTACGCACCAGAGAACCCACACAGGGGAGGGCTTGTTCCCCTGTGACGAGTGCGGGAAAACTTTCACCAGCTCCTCGGACCTCAGCAAGCACCAGCGCTCCCACACGAGCGAGCGGCCCTACCCCTGCACCGAGTGCGGGAAGCGCTTCAACCGGCTCTCCAACCTGAAGATGCACCACAGGACTCACACGCAGGAGAGGCCCTACCCATGTACTGAGTGCGGGAGACGCTTTGGCCACCTCTCCACGCTCGTGAGGCACCGGAGAGCCCACACAGGGCAGAGACCCTTCCCCTGTGTGGAGTGTGGCAAGACCTTCACCACCAGGACAGGGCTGAGCAAGCACCAGAGAATCCACACAGGCAAGCGGCCCTACCCCTGTGGGAAGTGTGGAAAACGCTTCGGCTACCTCTGCGCTCTGACCACACACCAGCGACTGCACACGGGGGAGAGACCCTTCTCCTGTGCTGAGTGCGGGAAAACCTTCACCAGCCCTGCGGACCTGACCAAGCACCAGCGCTCCCACACGGGTGAGCGGCCCTACCCCTGCGCTGAGTGTGGGAAACACTTCAGCCAGCTCTCCACCCTGACAGTGCACCAGAGGACTCACACACAGGAGAAGCCCTACCCCTGTGCCGAGTGCGGGAAGAGCTTCAAGTACCTGGCTTACCTCACCATTCACGAGCGCTCCCACACCGGGGAACGGCCCTTCCCCTGCGCCAAGTGTGGGAAGAGCTTCAGCAACAAGTCAGCTCTCACCCGGCACCAGAGAATCCACGTCAGAGCTGCAGCTGTGGATGAGTGAGGCCATCCTGGCTGAAAGCTCCGCTGCAGGTGTTCACCAGGAATATTTGAAGTGTAGGAACAGAAAATGGTTCTGCAGAGCCCGAGGGAAATCAGGCCTCAAAACCCAACTCCTGTTACCCTGTCACACACAATGTGGGTTTGTCTTTGCTGCACAGTTAACCCAGGCTTTCCTCTGGGTTTTAGCCCAATCCCCTACTACCCACACAGAAAGTCTTCTGACCCATGATTCAGGGTGCTTTAATCCCAGGCTAGTTTACACAGCTCGGGGTATAGGTTAGAGCTCAGACTGTTGTTAAACTCAGGCTAAAACTCACCCATGTTGCAGTGAGGACACAGGCAAAGTCCCCTCAGTGCTCATAGTCCTCCAGTGCTTTCCCACAATGCATCCCGAAGGACAGACAGATTCTTCCATCATTGACTGGGAAGGAATTGTACAGCATCTCAAAACAAAGAACTACAGGATCTGCCCCCAGACCGGACATGCACAGGGAAGTGTAGACACAGTAATGCAGATAGGGCTTGCAGTAGGGACATTCACACCTGGGCTAGGCTAACCAGGGTGCCCAGACCCTAGTGCCAATCACCTGAGTTAACTGTATTAAAACTTAGCCCAATATCGATGAGGAGGGCCGGCCTTTGTTTTGTTCCCCTGAGGAGTCTCAGGGCTTGAACCCCCCAGCAGTGCCTGGTCACTTTGGGGGTGTCCACATGGCAGAGTGTAGGCGTGTCTGGACTCCCGTGCCTGTGAATTCCTGCTTGCCAGGCTTGTCTGTGAGTGTCCACCCTGCAGAGCCCCACACGACCCAGACCCATATAGCCATGTTCACAGTCACATGGCAATGGCAGGGGTTCGGCGCTAGGATTTCTGAGGGTGTATGCCAGGGTGCTGGAGCCACTCTAGGAATTGGTTTGTGGTGTATTGTGGGAGAGCTTGTCTGTCTTTCCCAGACCCCTTTGTGGTGGAAGTGTTCTTAGCCAGCAACACCTGTAGCTACGGCACTTCAGGCCTCTGCCCGCTCCAGCTGGTGCCGTGCCATGCCATGGATCCAGCACGGTTGGAAGAGCTGTTCCTGCTAGTGGCTTCACTGTTATTACAGAATACAGATGGAGGGGCTAATGACAACAGACAGCATTTTAGCACAAGTTGCTGACCCACAGATGGCAGCAGTGGGTCTTGGAGGGGAGTTAATTCATGGCAGACTGATGACACCTTTTGCATGCTGCAGTTGCTATGCATTGCCTATATGTAGCCCAGGGCTTCTCATGCAGGATGGCTAGCACAGCGTGGTGGGGTCACATCATCTTGCAGACCTGGGGAGACCAGCAATGGCTCCAGAACTCCTGCATAAGGAAGCAGACCTGTGTGAGGAGCTGGCCATGCCAGGCCAGTCTGTTCTTGTGACTCCACCCCCCTTCTGCTGGGATCTCCTCCATCTGCCCCAGGCAAAAACCCTAAAACTCAAAAGCCTGTGATGGAGGACTGTGGGCTCTGCGCTTGAGGCTGGGATGGGTGCTCAGTTGACAGCCCTGTAGTAAGGGCAGGTAGTTGTCAGGTGCCAACCTTTGCCTCGTGGGAGATGGTCATTAGGTTTGTAATGTGCGCCTTTGCTCTGCACAGCCATCTGCTGGATTCCCACCTCACCAGCCTCTGCAAGAGCTTCTCATACAAGGGAATGTTTTGGGTGCTTCTCCCAAACTCAGGCTCCCTGCTATATGCACACCAGAGGTTAACCCAGCTAGCATCCTACTGGTGGGCAACTTCTCTGACTGCTCAGCAGAACTGCGCTGAGCTGCCCAGAACATGGAGCAGGCTGCATGGAATGAAGGATGTACATAAACCGGCAGGGATTATCTAAACCCCAGCTCAGCTATACATGTGTTGCTGCATCCTCGCTGGACAGTGAGGCGGTTGGAGCACAACTTTAACCCAGTGTAAACTCTGGGGAAGTGACCATCTTTTGTACAGCACCTAGCACGATGGGGGCCTGGTCCACCAGTGGGGCTCCTGGACGCTACCATAATATAAATAATAACCCCAGCTAGGCAAGCAAGCATGTTTTTTAAGGGTTGTGTGGGGATGCTAGGCTAAAACCCATGTAAGAACACAGGCTAAGCCGGCAGCGTAGACATACCCTTCCCTGTTGAAAGGACCTGAGGGGGTCATTGATGCAGAGATGATGGCAGCCTGAGTTAAAGTGAATGGATGGGCTTCAGCACTCCCCTTCAGTCTAACAGAAGGGGAAGCTGAGACTTGTGATACAAAGCACCTGGATGCACGGGGGTGGGGTGGAGGACTGACTTACAGGGCCATCTGACAAACCATCTGCTCCTAGGAGGCGTGGTGCTGAAGGGCTTTCCTAGGAGAAGCCTACAGGAGCTGGGTGGGACAAGGTGCTGTGCTGAGCACTTTGCAGAGAGCTGGCTATGAGCTCTAGGCAGCGGCAGAGGTGCAGAATAGCTGCTTTGTGGAACAGAGCCGGGGTACCTTACCTGAAATTTCTGTGTAAGGGAGCTGCCTGCACTGCTTTGTTCCTACCACTCTCCAGGGAAACAGGACCTGGGTACAGGGTCTGAATAAACAGATTACACCAAGATCATACTCTGGCTCCTTCCGTGCAGTAGGAGTACCTGGTGGGAGAAAGGGGCCTGGTGCTCTGGAGGCAGTAACACTATTGCAGAATTTCCACGGATAATGGAAGAGCGCCTGCCCCTGTGCACAGCTATTCATTTGATTGTTTGGGGAGGCAACACTTGGAGGAACTCACCCCAAGATGTTACAAGAGTAAGAACCAGGGTAGCCAGAATTGGTGCAGGCCCAAGCCTTTGGGCCAGTGTATTTGCATCCTCACTGAGTGCCCGGAAGAGCAGTTCACACTCTGGAGCAGGTGTCCTGCTGTTCCCATGGAGACATCATGCACCCTGTAGCACTGGGCTCCCAGAGCCAGTAAAGCAAAAATAGACTTGCAACTTCAACTGCCACTGCAGTTAGCAAACCGTGTGCGCTGTGACTGGATGCTGCTGTTCCTGCAGTCTCGGGGGGCTAAGGAGCCCTCTTCACCCAGGCCTTGGGTACAGCAGGAAAATGAGGACCTGTAATTCACCTTTAGTCCAGCTCCTCCACTGGCAGTAGCAGCAGTGCAAGCTGTGGTGAAGACGCAGGATTGTAGTGCTGTTACCACTGTGTCATCTCCTCTGCCAGTTAGGGTGAGATGTTTGGCAGATTGTCCCAAGAAGATCTCATTGCTTTGGTCAAGGGGTTGGTGCTGAAAACCAGGATGCCCCAGGAAAACAGCTCTGAGATGTCAGGGCAAGATGACTGGGTGTCCCTTTCCAAACACTCTGTGAGTTGCCACAAGAAGAGGGAAGATGCCTTCCGTAAGGAATACAAGGGATTAGAAACTTCAGATGAGGAATGGGGGGGGGGACTCCAGTGAAAGTGGAGGAAGAAGAGGAGGATGTAAATCAGCCACTACAAACTCCAACACCTCCAAGACATTCCTAATCTGTGAGTTTGGCCTCAGGCCCAGAGGGTGCTGAGAGCTAGTTATGTGGAACAAGCCCCACCCCCTTTTTACTTGGAGAATTCCCCTTCTTGTACCCATGCCAGAGCTGACAGGTCAAATGATCTTCATATCCGAAAGGAGGCCTGTGCATCTGCTCTCGCCTGCTGCTCCTATGTCCCAGTGTCTCGCTGTCCTGGCTATGGATCCTCTGCAGGTCCCTAGGGGTGACATACGCACCCCCAGCTGTGGATTTACACAAGCATGATTGTCAGAAAGTGCTGCAGCATGAGCAGCTCTGTGATCTGCTCCTTGGTGCAGATCTCTGGCTTCAACCATCGGAAGGCTGTAAACCTCTTGGGGCTCCCTGGCAGTGGAATTGCATGAAACGCAGGTGCTGCGTGTCCATGCTGATGTCGCACCCTTGCAGGATGGCTCCTTTCACCTTCTCATAGGCTCCAGCACCTTGTGCATCCAGACTCTTGTAGGCCTGTTGGGATTCCCTGATTTGGGTCACCCATTCTCCTCCCAGCCACTGGCAGGCTTCAGCCATTCACTCAAAGGAAGCCAAGGCCTCATCCAGCATCATCTCTGACCGCTTTGTGTCTCCCCATTAGGGCTAAAGCCGACACAACTTCACGAAGGGTCTATATAGGGTTTGCAGCACCTCCTGAACTTGGACTCCTCAACACTGGAGCAACCCCTCCTGTCGCTCACTCCTGACCGCTTGTGCCATCTCAGCAGCTGCCAAAAGGTGGCTACTTGGATTTTCTCTGCTCCCTTTTGTTCCTTCCATGTGTCAGGGTCCACTGGACCATGGGTTTCAATTTTCACTTTAGTTGCCTGCTCTCCTGGAGCCTGAACCTGGAGACCGAGGAGTTGACAGCTCCCCTGCTTTGCAGCCATTCTCTGTCTGGGGTCCCCAACCTTATCCAAGCTCTAGGTCTCAAACTTCCGTATTTCACTCCTGTTTCTGCTGGAAATAACCAGCCTCTAGTCTCGCACCTGAGTGTCTAGTGTTTAAATCTCACTTTCCACAACAGGTCACAACCCACCATCCTAGGCTGGGTTGGGCAGTGTGAGACCAGGTAGTAACAATGCAGAGGGGGCAAGTTTTTAGACAAAGCAACTGTTTGGTCCCTGTGTGGTGGGAGGGACTTCTGGCAGATTTCAGACGGAGAGAGACAGAAAGAGAGCCAAATTCACTGCCAGAAACCCAGGTCGGGTTGCCTAGTGCCCTCCCAGCAGGTTGAGTGGGGCCAAACCTACAGCTCTGAAAACCAGTAACTACAGAGTTAAGGAAACGTATCCCACACTGCAGCCCACACAGTCTTTCCTCTGCTCCACTGGGGCTAGCAACTGGTATGGGGACCATGCCAAACCTGCCCTATCCCTAACAGAGGTTGCTGTTTCCTAGGCTGTGTCTAACACAATCCTGTATCATCATTCCTCTTCATCCCCTTGCTGGGCTAGGTACAGTGGGCCAATCCAGGACGCAGTTGCAGCTAGTTGTCAGCGCTCACCCTGCCAGCTGAAGAGGGTGCATCTGCAGCTAGAGGGCAGGACAGCCCCCATTTCCTGTCTGGGCCATGCAGAGAGTCGTGTAGATTATCCCAGTGGTCCCTCGACTCGAAATCTCACAATCTGTGATAATGTTCGTAATGGGCTGTAGTGTTTTAGGGCCACTAGAACAGCTGCCACTGTCCCTTCAGGGGTGACAGGGAAATAGAGGAGTGTTTCACCCCCACACATATTCTCAGTGCCTAGGAGAACCCCACCCTGCCTTGGGTTACACACACCACTCTGCTGCATGCTGGTTCTGGCCAGTACTAATGGTCTGGTACAAGGCTCAATCCGGGCTCACGGAGGCGATGTTCCAGAAGGATTCCTTACCACAATGATGGATGGATGTAAGCAACTACTGAGTCCTCAGGGGGGTGTTTTGACTAGGGAAATTCTCAAGTTCAGATTGCACTGAGCTATCTCGTGTTTGCTAAGTCTGGCCTCAACTCACCCTTTTTCCTAGTGAAGACAAGGCCTTAGAGTTTCCCCCACGCTACTCTTGGACATTTTCCCTGCTGTCCTCCAACGCTCAGGAAGGATACAGGCCTGTTATCTCTGATGAGGCAGGTTGGGGCCTTGCTCAGAGGGGACGTTTTCTAGACAGTCTCCCTACAGACATGGATTTTGGAGCGCTTTGGATAACAGGCTCTAGTGCTCCTCTATAATACAGCCGGCACCCAGGGAACTACTTCCAAGAATAGCCCCCTGGAGAAGAACAAAGGCAGAGGGTGGCAATGTGCACATCAGCCATTCTCTAAACCAGCTGAGCAGAAGACTTGAACTCATGCTCCTCAGGCTTTGCCTTAGTTCATGGACTGTCATCAAGCTTCCTAAGCCACCCACTGACCATAACAGGAGTTGAGCTTGTCCACAAAGCTAGTGACCAGAGTCAGGAGCCAGGCTCCTGGTGTGCCTGTCCCACAGTGCCTGCACAAATCACTTTCTCTGGCAGGTGAGCCTATTTGTAGAGTCACACAGAACCTCTAGTAACTGCTGAAATATTGCTTTCCTGGCCTGGCACAGAGCATTGGTCACTAGCTGGGGTCAAACCGCACTGGGTAAACTCCAGGGGCATGGATTCAGCCACAGGTGTGTGCCAAGAACAGTGTGAGAGCAAGCGACGTGTACGGACCCTTTACTCCAGGGACTGTATCTCTGCACCCCCGAGAGGGAGTGACCCCACATTTGCACCAAAAATCCTACCCTTGGCCCTGATGAGGCAGCCATTTTTCATGGCAATTTGTGCTTGTGTGTGGACCTCAGAACACTTTGAAACACAGGCTCTTGACATGCAGGGTTGGCTCCCGCTTCAATATGATATGGCAAAGGGCACCCATGATAAGGACCCAGGTGGGGATGGGCTGGACTCTAATGAACTTCCTCCCCAGTTAAGGTACAGGTGTTTGTGCAGGGCTGTAACCCCCTGCACATCATCCCCAGCCCATACAGGTCCCTCCCTGAGCTCCCTGCCCTGCCCCAGCACAGCCCTGTAACTGAGCCACTGCACAGCACCCCCCAACTTGTAACCCCAGCTCCCTGCCCCAGGCCCCTCCCTGAGCCCCCTGCACAGCCCTGTAACTCCAGCACAGAGGCCCCCACTCCTCAGCAGCGGGCAGGGAGACCCCCACTTGCTTCCCGGTAGGAGCTGCTGTGCCCATCCCCGTGGAGTGAGGTCGCCGGGCTCCGGCTGCCCCCGCTCCCGGAGACCGGCCCAGCTGGGCGGGGCGGGGCCGGATCTGACTGACAGCGATCGCTGCCAATCCCCGCGCGGAGGGATTAACCCTGCGCTGGCCGGCGCGGAAGCTCTTTGTCTAGGGAACTGGGCCGGCCTCCCTGCGTCCAGGCGGGGTGGTGTGGTGAGGGCGGGGTGGCCGGGACCTGGGGTGATGGACCTGTCTGTGCTGGGGGGCAGGAATCTGGGGTGATGGATGCGGGATGGGCCTTTCTGTGCTGGGGGGCAGGAACCTGGGGTGATGGGTGGGAGAGGGGCCTGTCTGTGCTGGGGGGCAGGGAGCTGGGGTGATGGGTGGGGGATGGGCCTGTGCTGGGGGGCAGGGAGCTGGGGTGATGGGTGGGGGATGGGCCTGTGCTGGGGGGCAGGGAGCTGGGGTGATGGATGCGGGATGGGCCTTTCTGTGCTGGGGGGCAGGAACCTGGGGTGATGGGTGGGAGAGGGGCCTGTCTGTGCTGTGGGGCAGGGAGCTGGGGTGATGGGTGGGAGAGGGGCCTGTCTGTGCTGGGGGGCAGGAACCTGGGGTGATGGGTGGGAGAGGGGCCTGTCTGTGCTGGGGGGCAGGGAGCTGGGGTGATGGGTGGGGGATGGGCCTGTGCTGGGGGGCAGGGAGCTGGGGTGATGGGTGGGGGATGGGCCTGTCTGTGCTGGGAGGCAGGGAGCTGGGGTGATGGGTGGGTGATGGGCCTGTCTGTGCTGGGGGGCAGGAACCTGGGGTGATGGGTGGGAGAGGGGCCTGTCTGTGCTGGGGGGCAGGGAGCTGGGTTATGGGTGGAGGATGAGCCTTTCTATGCTGGGGGGCAGGAAACTGGGATGATGGGTGGGGGATGGGCCTGTCTGTGCTGTGGGGCAGGGAGCTGGGGTGATGGGTGGGAGAGGGGCCTGTTTGTGCTGGGGGGCAGGAACCTGGGGTGATGGGTGGGGGGTGGGCCTGTCTGTGCTGGGGGGCAGGAACCTGGGGTGATGGGTGGGGGATGGGCCTTTCTGTGTTGGGGGGCAGGAACCTGGGTTGATGGGTGGGAGGGGCCTTTCTGTGTGGGGGGAGGGAGCTGGGTTATGGGTGGAGGATGAGCTTTCTGTGCTGGGGGAGGAACCTGGGGTGATGGGTGGGGGTGGGCCTGTCTGTGCTTGGGGGCAGGAACCTGGGGTGATGGGTGGGGGATGGGCCTTTCTGTGTTGGGGGGCAGGAACCTGGGTTGATGGGTGGGAGGGGGCCTTTCTGTGCTGGGGGGCAGGGAGCTGGGTTATGGGTGGAGGATGAGCCTTTCTGTGCTGGGGGGCAGGGAGCTGGGGTTATGGGTCGGTGGGTGTTTGGGTGAATCATGGCTAGGTCTCTCTTTTCCCCTCTGTTTGTTGTGGTTCTGACTCTCCCATCACACAGTAGCATCCTGATTAATTGTTTTGCTGCAGCCCTCCCAGGAGCCTGGACGCATCCAGCAGGACCGACGGAGAGACCGAAGTTGGAGAACTAGGGCGCAGGCCCCAGCGGGGATAAGCTGGTCCTTGAAGACAGATCAGTAGCTCCTGGGTCTCCACATCCAGGCTCCGCGAGAGAATATGGAAATGGCAGATCCAATGGGCCCAAAAGCAGGGAATGAGCTGGAGAGAGACGGGAAGCAGCCAGTCCTGGGACCAACCATCTCAGTAAGTCCTCGATGGCAGCTGAGGACTGAGCAGTGTGACAGGATGTCCCGGTATTGGAAAGATCAATTTCAGGAGGAGCTACAGAGCTTACGGACACCTGTTGTGGCTATGCCGACATCAGTCCCTGCGTCAAAAAACCCTCCACTGCTGGAGCTGACCCCAGAGGAGGATATTGAGGCCTATCTGGCTTCCTTCGAGCAAGTGGCTGAAGCCTGCCAGTGGCCCAGAAAAGAGTGGGTGACCCGCCTTGTGCCGGCCCTCAGTGGAAAAGCTCGGCAGGCCGTTAGCAGCCTGGATGCCAGAGACGCTGGAGATTACGGGAAGGTGAAGGCAGCCGTCCTGCGAGGCTGCAACCTTGGCACAGAGACACAGCGCCAGCGCTTCAGGCAGTTCCGCTACCAGGAGGCCGAGGGGCCCCGGGCAGTTTTCTGCAGACTCTGGGAACTCTCCCATCGATGGCTGAAGCCGGAGAGCCGCACCAAGGAGCAGATCATGGAGCTGCTGATCCTGGAGCAGTTCCTGACCATCCTGCCGGAAGAAATCCAGAGCTGGGTTTCTGAACACTGCCCAGAGACGTGCGCCCAGGCAGTGTCCCTGGCCGAGGATTTCCAGGTAGGACTGCAACAGGCTGGGATCTGAGAGCAGCAGGTGAGAGCAGGTGCAGGGGAATGTCCAGGGGGCTCCATTGGGTTCTGCAGGGAATTTGGGTTCTACAGGGAATTTGATGGGGCAAGTTTGGGTGCTGGGTGAACACAGGGAATTCTCAAGGCAGGACATGAGTGGGGCTTGTTCTGTGTAATCCTGCTCTCAGCACTGGGATTGCGGATGTCACAGTTCCCTGCTCTGCACACCCTGCCGTTCTCTCTGGGTATAAATGTCACTGCCACCCTTATGCAGAGTCATGCAGGACCCTTGGGCAATAATTTCACTAGTACCTGCAGCTGCTGGGAGAGTGCAGTGACCTCTCCCAACACCTGAACTGATAGGGAGCCTCGTTAACAGACTGGGGCTCCATGTGAATCCAGCGTGTGCTGTTAGGAGGCAATGTCGCATGGCCTGATCCTAGGGACCCAGCCCTGAGCATCCTCTGTGTGTCACATTCAGCCATCATGTCCTGGGGTACGCGTGTCTCCTTAGCTGCCTCACCTCGCAGGACGTGAGTGGGGTAGTAGCTGCGGGTACGAGTGAAATTGCCAAAGGGTCCTGCGTGACAGGGTTTGGCTTCTTTCCTTCAGCTCCTCTCAGAGATGCTGGATAGCATCATGGGGAGCCTGCCTTTCCCTGAGGTCCAAGCTCCTCCCAGGCTCATACTGCATAGCCTCAGCCTCCTCTTCCGGTTACCTCTCCCATTAGGTACAGGCCCTGCTGGCCAAAGCAGCTTCTGCCTGAGGAGCGGGCACCCTTTGCCACGGGCACTATTCAGGTATGATTTCCCCCCCTGACTCTCAGCCCCTGGTTGCCCGGTGACCCATGTGGTTGGTTCCCAGGTCACAGTGCATGTGAAGGTCGAGGACGTGACCCCAGAGGAGATGGATGCCCCTGAAGCATTATGGGAATCTCAGAGCCCCCAGCTGGAGCCACCACAGCCCCATCCCGCATGGGGATCACCGGAGGAGGTGGCACTGAGGAAGTACGAGCTGCCAGGCGCCCCTGGAAAGGAGCCCCGAGTTGGACGAGAAATGGGTAACGAGCTCCTGAAGGGGCCTGGGGCGGGTCTTCCCTGGGGCACTGAGGGGACAATGGAGAAGGGAGTCCCTCGGGCTCAGAGTGTGTGTGGGGAGAAGAGGGGAGTGGCTGGCTCAGGCCATGTGGGCGCTCTCCAGCAGGATTGCTGCCTGGAGAACGTGGGAGGCTGTGTGTGGGGTTGGGGTGGCCAGTGGGTGTCTCTTAGGTGACAAGTGGCCCAGGCAGTGGGGATGGGACTGTGGGAGCTGGGTGGCCCCGTAACCAGTGCGGTTGTGAACCCTCCTTGTGTGGGTCCTATTCTGTGGTGTTACCTAGCAGGAGCTAGGCCCATGTCATTCAGGGCTTTCCATGCATCCTGGCCAGCTCTGGTGGAAGCTCCTTCCCTCCTCCTTCCCTCCTCCTTCCCTCCTTCCCTCAGTCCCAGCACTCAGCTGGGAGACAGAGGCAGGATGGACCCTTCCTCTCCTCTGGGTAGTGAGTTAAGGGAATGGGGGGGTCTGACCCTCAGCAGAGGGGCTGTGGTTTATTTTCTCCCTGTTCTGGCCGGCTGAGTGAGAATGAGGAGTATCTCCACAGGAAAGGCCTGAAGGAAGCTCCAGGGATGTTATTGGGGAAGCCCAAAAGTAACATGACCCAAGCCTGGCACTAGTCTGGAAATCCCTCACAGCTGTAATCTGTCAGTGGGGCAACCCCCCTGGGGTAGCAATGGTGGGAGCTGTAGCATAGGGAGGGCTCACATGTGTTTCCCACCATGTGACCCAGTTGCGGGGCTCTGTGCAGAAGCTGTCTGAGCAGAATATTCTCCTTGCCAGGCATGTTACGACCAACAGGCTTCGCCGGTCCTAGGCTTGTACCCTGCCCAGCCCCTGCCGCAGTGCCTGCAGTTGCAATGCGTTTTCAGGAAGAGCACAGTGGGTTTCGTCCCCTGGAGGCCAGACTGAACATCCTGCCTCACTGGCTCTAACACAGGAACCCCTCATGATTCGCTTCCTTGTTTTGATGGTGGCTTTTAAGGAGTCCTGTCCCCCCCGTACTCAACATTTCTTTAACAAAAACTTTTTTTTAATTTTTGGTGAAAAGTGGACATTTTTGTAAAGCAAACTCTTTTTGCAAATAATTGCTGACACTAATGACATTTTTCACAAAATTATTCATCCCATTTTGTAAATAAAATATTGCATCTAAATGCTTTGTTCACATAAAGCCGACCATTTCGATAAATGAAAAATAAAAAAAATCGCAAAAGTAGACAATGGGTCTGTTTCCAAACGCCACTTTGAAACCTCACAATTTTTTGGCAAAAATTTTTATCCGTTTGTTTTTTATCTGGCTCTAACCTGTAAGTGGATTTCTGTAGGGAACATCATTGTCACCTAAACAGCAGGTCCGTTGAGTGGGGCAAAGGAACCAAAGAGACAGAGGAATCAATTAGCAAAAGAACAAATGAGCTGAGTCCTGAATGAGAGAGGGATACAGCAGTGAGAGAGAGAAAGGTCTATGGCAGGGGTGGGCAAACTTTTTGGCCCAAGGGCCAAATTGCATGCAGGGCCATGAATGTAGGGCTGGGGCAAGGGTTGGTGTGTGGGAGGGAGTGTGGGGTGTGGGAGGGGGCTCAGGGCAGGGGGTTGGGGAACAGGAGCAGTGCAGGGTGCAGGAGGGGGCTCAGGGCAGGGGGTTGGGGTGCAGGAGGGGGCTCAGGGCAAGGGGTTGGGGTGCAGGAGGGTTTGGGTGTGGGCTCTGGGGTGGTAGCGGAGCTAAGGCCAGCTCCCTGCCTGCCCTGGCCCCGCACCGCTTCCAGAAGCGGCTGGCACCACGTCCCTGCGGCCCCTAGAGGGTGGGGGGGGGAGAGGACTCCTCACACTGTCCTCGCCTGCCGGTACCTCCCCCGATGCTCCCATTGGCTGTGGTTCCCCGTTTCCAGCCAATGGGAGCTGTGGGGAGCAGTGCCTGCAGGCGAGGGCAGCACACGGAGCCCTCTGCCCTCCCCCGGGGCTGCAGGGACATGGTGCCGGCCGCTTCCGGGAGCGGCCAGGGGCCCGCGGCGCCACGGGGGTGGCAGTCCCGTGGGCCAGATCCAAAGGCCTGACGGGCTGGATCTGGCCCACGGGCCGTAGTTTGCCCACCCCTGGTCTATGGTCTGGAGAAGAGGGAAGAGAGATGGGGAGCCTGGAGGGAAATTGAGGGGCTGGAGCAGAGGGAAAGGGAAATGTTGGGAGTTGAGGAAAAGCTATTGTGGGCCCTGGGGAAAGAGGAAGGAGAAAGGGATGTGGGGCTTCCTGCTTGTGCCCCTCCACAGCCCCATATTTCTGCATGGCTGACTGTTTGGCTTTCCTTGGGGGTCTCTCCAGTGGAAGGATGTGAGGAGCCTCACCCACTTCCACTTGGAAATACGAGAGATGAAATAATCTCTGGATTCTCTCTTCCATCCAGCAGGTGCCAGGATCCTGAGCAGGACTGAGAAGCAGCCTCACAGCGAAGGGCCTAAAAACCTGCAGCCCCCCAGCGTATCACTGCAGGATTCAGGAGAGAGCATTAACCACAGACCTGAGCAGGAAGGAGCCTGCAAGAGGCAGAAGAGGAGCCCAGTGGGGAATGAGTCAGATCCCCTAGGGGAATGTGAGAGTGGATTCAGGAGACTAATCCAACCTCCTGCACCGGGGAGACCTCGGACCACAGGGGACCTTCAAAATCAGAACAGCATTCACAGGACAGAGAAGCCCCATAAATGTCGAGATTGTGGGGAAAGGTTCTGGGAGAAGCAGGCACTCACGGCCCATGGGAGAGTCCATGGGAAAGACAGACCATATCCCTGTCCTGAATGTGGGAAGAGTTTCAACAGACTGACCCATCTCAAAACGCACCGGAGAACCCACACGGGAGAGAAACCCTATTTCTGTGCCGAATGTGGGAAGAACTTCGGCCACCTCTCCACGCTCATTACACACCAGAGGCTGCACACAGGGGAGAGACCCTACTCCTGTGACGAGTGTGGGAAAACTTTCACCAACCCCTCGGACCTCAACAAGCACCAGCGCTCCCACACTGGCGAGCGGCCCTACCCCTGCGCCGAGTGTGGGAAGCGCTTCAGCCAGCTCTCCAACCTGACGATGCACCAGAGGACTCACACGCAGGAGAAGCCCTATCCCTGCGCTGAGTGCGGGAAGAGCTTCAAGTACCTGGCTTACCTCACCGTTCATCGGCGCTCCCACACTGGGGAACGGCCCTTCCCCTGCACCGAGTGTGGGAAGAGCTTCAGTCACAAATCCTCTTTGGCCCGTCACCTGAGAATCCACGCCAGAGCTGCAGCCATGGACAAGTGAGACCCTCCCAACAGAGGGCTCCACTCCGGTCGTGTGTGTATAATAACGTGAAGCAGGCCCTGAGAGAAGCTAGTCCCATGCCCACTAACAGAACCATCCCCCTCACGGTCACCGGGGGGCGTGAATTGGGACTTCACCTTAGTCCTTTGAGGTGTCCTGATTCCAGAACCGCCCCAGCAGTGATTTTCTCCTTCCTGCTTGAACTAGTGAGGAGAGGGCCACTCTAGGGGCTTGTCTTTCTGCATATTAACTTTTTTTAACTCAATTTTGTCCCTCACTCGAGTCCCATCCACATACAGTACCTTTAAGTGGGGTGCAGTGGTGCTGTGACCCCAAGGAGGGGGCATAGGCTAAAATTGGAGCACAACTCATCAGCTGCTAACACAACCCCTCTGTAGTGGTTTGTGCCACTTGCATATCACTAGTTCTCCAGTGCCTTCCCACGATTCCCCTAGTGTGCCCAGAAAGGCAGACAAGTTCTCCCACTACTCACTGGGAAACGTGTGTGTCCAGAAGCCATAGTGCCATACTCGAGGGAGCGCAGAGCCTGTGTGGGTACAGCAGCGTGGCTGTTCTCAGCCGAGCTCGGCTGACTCGAGAGGAGTCACTGGGCCCCAGATAACTCAAGTTAACTCTGTAGTGAAGGCAGACACGGTGAGGCTGGCAGGCCCCAGTCCCAGCAGTACCAGGAACAGCACCTCCAGGGGAAGGCATTGGGCCAACCCTACCTCTTGCCCCACTGCCAACCAGTTCTGCCTCGGTGCCCCCGCACAGCCACCTTCTTCCACGCTCTGCCCTACTCAGTGGCACCCAGCCTCACCAGAGCTTCAGAGCCCTCTATCATCTTTTCCCAGCAGCCACGTGTCACCGGGACCCAAGTCTGCTGCATTGACTCCCTGCCTCCCACTCACCCGACTGGCTCTTCCAGCTGACTCTTATCTCAGCCTAACATTGACATTCTCTGTATACTCTTCTGTATTTAATCATCCCCCACCCCCCCCCCCGGGTTTTCTGCTCCTGTCCTGTTAACGCTCTTGCTGTTTGCTGCCCTGTCTCTAGTGCGTTGCATTGTCCAGACCACGCGGTTGCTCCTTGGCTCAGCTGCCCATCAGCACAACCGCTGATTCAGTTTTATTGGTGTGAGATTTTGATCAGATGGCCCCAATCCTGCACGGAGCTCCACGTGGGCAGATTCCTCTGGAATGCTGCCTGGCTACTGGGGTCCCCATGTGTAGCTCAATGCAAGATTGGGGCCTTAGTTTAAAATCTTCTGATCTTCCCTACATCATTGGTTACCCTTCTGAATTGCTGGTATTTTTTATTTATTTCCTGCTGATTTTATTGTAATGTACTGAACAGTACTTCTTGTCAATCAATCACTGCTCTGCACACTTAATTAACTCTCTTTCCCTGTTCCTTTGACTCAGTTAAACCCACTCTCTTGATTTGGCCCTTGTTTAACTGCCTATTGCCATTCTCGCTGTTGTCCCCCTGACTTCTTGCCCTGTCGAGTCCCAACTCACTGTAATGATGTTTTATCAGTCTCGCTGGATGGGTTTAGTTTCTGGCTGGAACAAGGAGAAGGGGTGGAAAGTGGGACCTGCGTAGTGGTGGCAGGCTTCTAGCACTCGTAGGAAAAGCTAAGGGGTGCGTCAAGACACTAGGTAACACGTGTGATCCAAGGACAGCCCTTATATCTCCAGCTGCAGTCTGGTGCCGCTCTGCTTTTCTCACTACAGCCCAGCCAGCAGTGCACCATGGGAATAAGTGGCCCAGTGATTCACAGGGACAGTTTTACGATTACAGTGTTTACGTTGGTAAGTGAAGAACACATGCCATCCCCACAAGTGCTTCATTTCCTGGTTGGGGAGGCAACATTTGGAGGAACCCAGCCCAAGATGTTGCAGGGGGAAGAACCAGGGTAGCCAGAACTGGTGCAGGCTCAGCATCTTTGCATCCACACTGGGTGCCTGAGGGAGTTACTCTCACTCGGGAGCAGCCGTCCTGCTGTTCCCATGTAGATGTCGTGGTATCCTGTAGTTTTGGGCTCCATGAGCCAGCAAAGCAAAACCAGAGCTTAGACTTCAACTTCCACTGTGGATGGTGAGTCTTGTGTGTTGTGACTGAATGGCTGCTTCCCTGCCACAGCAGACAGGCCTCATGTACAGCTTGAGAATGAGGACCTGTAATTCATCAGTGTATCTCCACTGGCAGAAGCAACAGTGGAAGCTGTAGTGTAGACAGGACTTTGGCATTGTTACCATTGTGTCATCAACCCCTAACCAGCAAGTGAGCTGTTGGCCAGCTTACCACTCTTTCCAAATACCAACTGAAGAAGCTCTGATGGAAGAAGGGGCTCTGAGGGCATCAGAGAAGATTTGCAGGCTTCTGCTGAGAAATTTCAGGGCTCCTGCCACAACCTTCCCATTCCTGGATGCACACCTTCTTCAACACCACTCTCTCGGGTCACTATCTCTCTACGCTTCCTCTCTGGACACTTCCCTGTCAATAGTGGGTGATCCTGGCTGTATTAACTATTTCAAGGGCCTTGCAGATCTCTTCAAAACCTGATTGACTACACCTTGGTCTCCTGGGTTTGAAAAGCTACTAACCCCAATAAATACAATATACATAATAGTGTTCAGTAACCCTGCTACGTTACTGCAGGAGGGAAAGCCTAATCCAATAGGAGCCCCGCCATGCTTCTCTTCCTGATCACAATCCACCCCCTCTGCTCACCTGCTCCCTGTCTCTTTCAGAGCCACCCAACAATCTTCACGTTCAGCCCCCAAAGCTCCAAACCAGCTGTCTAGTGTGGCCCTCCACCAGTCACAGCTTCTACATCTCTGGGCACCCAGTAGCCCATGTTCTTGGAGCCACAACATACTTCATCATAGAGTTTCACGTAATAGTTATAACACCATCTCATATCACACAATTTCAAGTTAACACAGTCCCTTCTCCACAACTCCAGTGAATATGGAGGGAGGAGAGGACAATCCAAGTGCGATGCCTCAAAGATATCCCCACAGTTTGGCATCTGACATGGGAAAGGTGTGTGGTGCAGCTCCTGCACTCCCATCGTTGGAGCTCCCAAAGTCCCTGTAAGGGGAGGACACTAAGGTTATGACTTCACTGAGAAAAAAAAGGGGGGTTTAACCGTAGGATAAATTGATGTGTATTAGCTCTCCTGCTGTGCACACACAGTGGAGTTACTGTGAGGTAAACCAGGCAAGGTCAACCATGGGCAGGGGGCAAAGTTCTGACCTCACCCAGCTGCCTTGTGAACACTATGAGCAGCTTGTCTCCCCTTAGGATTTTACAACATGATAATTATCCCCAATTGTTATCTCACTGTTTAAAAAAAGGGCACCACTGTAAAATGCGCAGTAAGCACAGGGCAAAGCCTTGGGGTTAGCCATGATAGGAAGAGGCATGCAGATAGATCTTACCCTCCCTCAAAAGGCACGTAAAGTTCACACTGCATAGAAAAATGAGTGACTCTTAGAAGCCATCCTGGCACAACTCTAGGCAGGTGATCAGATACTCCCTGGGGAGACTCTATGTGAACCTAAGAATGGCCACACTGGATCAGACCAATGGTCCATCTAGCCCAGTCCTGTCTTCCCATAGTGGCCAATGCCAGGTGCTTCAGAGGGAATGAATGGAACAAGCAATCATTCAGTGATTCATCCCCTGTTGTCCACTCCCAGCTTCTGGCAGTCAGAGGATAGGGATACACAGATCATGGGGTTACATCCCTGTCCGTTTTGGCTAATAGAGATTGCTGGACCTATCCTCCATGAGACCAACTATAAACTGAAGTGACTGTACAGATGCTGGGTTCTGCCATATCTGAGGAGCAAGGAAGAGGGTGTGAAGCCATCTCACTGGGACAATAGCTTTGCAAGCAAATCAGAGGTTGAAACAGCAAGCTCAGCAGAGCAGCACATAGGTGGTCACCTGGCCCTCCAGGTCCTGGCAGGGGTGGGAATGTAACACCAAAAGCTAACTGTCTGGGGAAATCCTTGGAACACCAGGGGCTTGAGGCACCAGGTGCATTACTGTCACTATGGGCCTTGGCACTTGTAGTGCCCAAACTTTAGATCGGGCTAGGTAGACCCTGGTCTTATACATCAGAAGGGACCTGAATCAGACTGATAAAGGCTTATAGCTTTGCTGGACCTGGGTGCAGGTTACATGGGATGGGAGGTAAACCCTGTAACTGTCACCATCAGGAAAAGGGAGAAAAATTATATGCAGGTTCCTGTGTTAGAACCAGAGATGGGCTATTGGGCAAATGGGAGGTTTCAGGGGACAACAGGGGCCCCAGGCCTCAGCCCAGAATCCCCCATCCAAACAGCAGTGGCAGCAGCTGGAGTAAAGGTGGAGGGGACACCGCTGTATGGAGATGACAGTTGTGTCCTGGAGACAACACCCTCTGCCTGGAAGATTCACGGAAAAAGGCTGGCTGTACCCAAGAACAATTCATTAAACAGGGCATTTGTTTGCAACAGAATATTAATAGTAATGACAGTTTCCACAACCTCTCTGCTGGTGAGATTATCAGGGCTCGAGTGCCCCAACTCCTTTCTCTACTGGACAGAGGAGAGATCATTGCCCATAGGACCAATCCCAAACATTCAAAAATCACGAGAGTGGCTTAACGATCATGAGATTTTAAAAAAAATCTGAATTTTCCTTCTAGGTTGTGAGTCTCCCACCCTTAAGTAAGTCGGAATGTACCAGGATCAACATTTAACATAGTGCACAGCAATAATGCTCTAGTTCAAACAGGAATTAGTTCAGGGAAGTCCTATGGCCTGTGTTATGCAAGAAGTCAGACAAGAGGATCACAGTGGCTTCTGGCCTTATAATCAAAGACTCTATGCACCTCCGTGTCAGCATCTCCAAGGGGGACTCCTCAGGCACCCTCCTAACCTCTGGCTTCAGTCTCATTGAAAACACTGGGAGTTGGTGGCCATTTTGACTTCTG